AAAAAAAAAAAAAAAAAAAAAAAAAAACTACAACAAAACAACAACAACAACAAAAAACCCAGAGCTAAGTTATTAAATGCTGGGCACAAATTGCCTCAGCTAATTTGCATGGCAAACTTCTTTGTTCATCTGTATCACCTTTGTTAATTGTATAAAGACTAATTTTAGGAGGGTTAACAGAACCACTCTGGCTATCCTACAATGGTATCTGTGATTTCCAGATTTCTTGTCCTTGGGAGGCAGACGTGTTTTCCCAGTAGAACTTCGTAAGAGCCACAGAATATTTCATTTATGAACAATATTGTGATAGGCTGTATTTAAACAAATGTAGTCAATGAATATCTACAATTACTTAAAAGATTATTTTCTTTATGAAATCATCTGTCACTAGAATTCTTTAATCAGCAAAATCCTCTAGGAAAGGCACTAATTCATTTACAGTTAAAAATTTATTTGCCAGGGATGTAGCTCAGTGGCACAGTGCCTGCCTGGCAAGTGCAAAGTCCTGATTTCAACCCCCACCCCTTGCAGGTGCGCACGCGCGCGCGCACACACACACACACACACACACACACACACACGCAAAAGCCTAAATGGGGTGTGGTGGTGCACACTTGTAATCCCAGCATTCTAGGAGGCCGAGGCACAAGGACCGCAAGTTCTAGCCTAAATTAGGCAATTTAGTGACTGAGAGCCTGTCTCAAAGTATGTATTAAAATTTTTTCCCTGAATCTCTATGTATATATATCTTGCTCATATTCTTTTTTCCTTCCCATCAATTGGCTAAGTTTCACCCATTTTTTTCAATCTATTCTAAGCTTCAAAGTTAACTAGTTAAAGTCTCTTATTATTCTCTTTATAGCATTTACTACAACTGTAATTCATTTTTTATGTAATCCCCCCCCACCCCCGTAACAGGGATCAAACTCAGGATCCTGTGCTTTTGAGGCAGGTGTGGTGCCACTGAACTAAATCCCCAGCTCTGTGATTTTTAAATGTGTCTCCCGTGAAAGACTGAAAGCTTTATATAAGGGTGGGCAGAGGCCGCATGTGCTGTGTTCACTATAATATAGCACACAGCACAACAAAGTTGGTCCCTAGGAGTTGGCAGTAGGAAGAGTCCAGTAAATATCTGTGCCATCCATGTAAGATTTTTCTTTTCTTTTTTTTCCCCCAGTACCAGGGATTGAACTCAGAACCTTGTGCTCACAAGGCGGGTACAGAGACAGAGCTAAATCCTGGCCCTATGTAAGATTTCTATGGTTAAAAAGAATTCCTTCCTGGCAAGACACAAGAAACCCTTGCATATCTGTTCACAGCTACACTCCCAAAAGCACTGTGTCTCTCAGCATACAGATCAGAGTACCATTTCTCACACAGATCCCAATATGTTTTTTTTGTTTTTTGTTTTTGAGACAGGGTCTCACTATGTAGTTGAGATTGACCTGGAACTCACTACGTAGTCCAGGCTGGTCTCAAACTCACAGCGATCCTCCTGCCTCTGCCTCAGCCTCCCAAGTGCTGGGATTACAGGTGTGCGCCACCACGCCCTGCAGATCCCAGAATCTGGATCCTGACCTAAGGAAACAGGGACAGGAAGAGTTCAAAATGGCTGAGTAGAACCTTTAATTATTGCATCTTTACCTTTCCATCTAGACCTCCTTCTTCCTAAGGGCAGATAAATGGGGGGGGCAGCAAATGAGATATAAATTCCTCACTCCCCTTATCCTTTTATCTGCAAAATTAAAATGGAGATCCAGAATGCTGCTTGCCACTAGGCAATCCAAAAATGTTTTGTTTTTACATTTTAACGTTACAGGGAACAAGACCTCAGAAGTACATACAAAGTAACCCAAATATACAGTTTCACTGGCAAGGAAGATATTAAGGAGAATCCGATGGCAACCTAGAGCAAAATACTTTTTTATTTTTTCATCTTACAACAGTACAGAGGGAGGAAAGAGGGAAATGGCTGCTGTCCACTAATAAATACTGCATGCTGACAAGGGTGCGCTGCCAAACTCCAGGCAAGAATAATCAGTTGGTAATCAAAGTGGAGAAAAGTCAAACTATTAGATCAATGAGTGACAAGACAGGAAGAGACAAAGGAGGAAGAGTGTAAAGACAAGGTCTACGAGCACTATCTGTGAGGTAGGAATGGCAGCCAAAAATGTTAGGAAAGCTCAAGGGACACTGGTGGACATTCTGATGGGGAAAAAAGTGGAGAAGCAGGCTTTAAGATGAAATGATAAACCGGCAGAGGGAAGATAAACCTTCAGAGCAGTCAGTATGCAGTGAAGCATTCACAACTGAAGCTGGACAATTTACTTTGCTACTTTTAACCGAATCTTTGCCCTTTGAACCAATTTCCCTAGTATTTTTAAAGAGCCCTCTCTATGTTTGCTACAATTTTATTTTTACAGTTGCACTGAAATGTGTATCATGTGTTGCTAAAAGCTGACTACGGGTAGCAGACCATATGTCCTCCCCCCTCTTTTTAAAGACAGGGTCTTGTTCTGTAATTCAGGCTAGCCTTGAACTCAAAGCAATCCTTCTGTGTCAGTCTCCTGAGTGCTGGGATTACAGGCGTGTGCCCACCACACCTGACTTCCCTTTAACAATTAATTTAAATCGGACATGGTAGCGAACACCTGTGATCCAGTACTCTGGGCGTCTGAGGCAGGAGGATAGTAAGTCTAGGCCCAAGTTGGCAAATTAGTGACTTACTGAGAATCTGCCTCAAATAAAAAACTGAAGTGCCTAGGTTTAATCCCCAGTTACCCTCAACCACTCCACAAATAAAGCCTACTATGGAGCCTGGTATGGTGGTACATTCCTGTAATCCAAGCATGTGGGAGGGTGAGTTAGGAGGATCAAAAGTTCAAGGACAAAACAAACAAACAAACAAAACAAAAGTCAAGAACAGTCTGGGCAATTTAGAGAGACACATGTAACAATAACAAAAGGGATTCAGGCCTACCAATAGGGTACAAAGTTCTCTTGAGAGTCCAGACCTATAAGCCATTGGTCTGCTATAAGAAATTACCTTCCCTCTGTTGTGACTTTGTCAACTCAAGGGCTCTGGTTTTGGCTTTTAAAAATGTTAAGGACAGTCAAATACAGGGGAGTATGTCTGTAATTCCAGTTACTTGGGAGGGTGAGGCAGGAGGACAGCAAGTTTTCCATCTCCTCCGCAAAATAAATGACACTTTGTCTCAAAATAAAAAATGAAAAGGGGTGGGGAATATTAATTAGCTCAGTAGCAGATTGCTCTTGGGTTCAATCCAACTCACCCCCCCATTCCCACAATAAACAGAAAACAAAAATAGCACGCTCAAAAATTCTGGCTTAATAACCAAAGTCCAGATCTGTGGCTTTAAAACTGTGCTCAAGTGGGGCATGACGGTGCATGCGTAATCCCAGCAGGAGGCATGAGGATCACTGCGAGTTCAAGACCAGCCTGGGCTACCTAACACAACCCCATCTCAAAAAAAACAAAACAAAAAACAATCTGTGCTCTATAGAGATACCTCTATGATACAGAGGAGGCTGAGTGGGAGGTGTTTAGTTTTCCTAAACTCATTTCTATATGAGCATATTGTTTTACATACTGTACCAGGGTTCAAAGCAAAAATTGTTAATACTTTCTTTTCTCTTTCACACAGTACTAGATATTGAACCCAGAGCCTTTAATCTACATCTCCAGTGCCCTTAAAATTTTTTAAATTTTGAAATAGGGTCTCACTAAGTCACTAAATTGCCCAGGGGGGGCTTGAATTTGCAAGCCTTCAGTCTCTGCCCCCTAGAGTACTGGGATTACAGGTGCACATCACCACATTTGGCTTCTTTGAAACGTTTGGAAAGAGTCAGGCATGTGGTGCAAGCATGTATGCTATAATCCCAGCACTCTGGAGGCTGAGGCAGGAGAATCACAGGGAGGTGACCAGTGTGGCCCACAAAGTGAGCATAAAGCTAACATGGACTAAATAGTGAAACCCTGTCCCAAGGGGGGAAAAAAAAAATCACAAATCTGGATAATTACAATATTGCTTTGTACTTTAAGGGCAAGAAGTTACTGCAAGTTAATTTCAAACTACCCAGCTTTTTGTTGTTTTCACAGTGCTGGGGACAGAACACAGCACTTTGATATGTTAGGCAAGCTCTGTACTTCTGGGGTCTACATACCCAGCCCACAAACCACTGTTTTAGGTTTCTGAATTTTTTCCTTTATTTAAAAGGTTTTCTGGGCCGGGGATTTAGCTCACAAGCACAAGGTCCCAAGTTGATCCACCGTACTAAAAAAAAAAAAAAAGTTTTCTATCAGCATTGCGAATTGAATCCAGGGCCTTTGAACTACACCGTCTCCCCCATACTCCATAAATTTTCACACAAGGTCTGGCTAAGTTACTAAATTGTACAGGATAGGTTTGAATTTGTGGTCCTACTTGCCTTGGCCTTTCTGAGTCCAGCAAAAAATTCAGTTTTTGTATTTCCTCTTCCCATCCTTATTTTGACACTAAAGTGTATTTTAAGAGTCAAGTGTGCCACCACACTCAATTTAGCCTCCGAGAACCACGGAGAATTTATATAAAATAATTACACAGTCCATGTATTGACGGTCCATTTTCATTAATGACAATCATACCTGCTCAGGATTAAAACTGGGAGTGTGTGGACTGGCTCATGTCAGTAAGGCTTTCAAGAGCATTAAGACTGACAGGTAGAAGCAAAGGCAAGAGCTTTTCTTACAGTAACCAGAAGACTTAGCAGCACATTTCCTAACGGGAAGGGCTTCACCGCCTGGGGTCAGCCTTTGCTTCCTTCGTTTCTTAAGAGGCGAGTCTAATCCTGGCTTTGGGTTAACCTTTGAGTCCCTGCTCTCAGTGGAATGGCAGGATTCCTTTAGGCAAGCAGATCAGGAATCGGGTCGCCTCTTTCCGGCTTTGAGATAATAAGGGCAAACGAAGCGGCAAGCTTGGGCGTTGTGGAGGCTGTGACAGCAAAGCGGGCAAAAGGGAAAAATCTGAGCAGTCCCGCGACCCCCGGGCCTGTCAGCTCCTCACCGTCCACCCAACCCCATTATTTAAACTTACCAGGTGGAAGCTACAGCCTCCAGCAAGGAGTAACTAAGTTGGATCGGGTCGCGCTCCACTGCGCTTCTTACAGCCACTGCTGTAAAGACGCTGAAATCCAGCGGCTGTAGCCGTCGCCACCGCCTCTGTTACTTGGGGGTCTCGCCTCCATCGCTGGCTGCGAGGGATCTGAGGGCACGTGACCGGAAGTACTAAGGCGGAGCTTGCAAGACACCTGACCTCAGAGCGCGGCCGCCATGACACCTTCCGCTCTTTCCCTCCCTCCCTCCCCCACC